CCTAGCTCATAGACTTGCTTGTGAGGGGTCTGGTGACCCAGCCTGGCATTTGGAGGGTCTGGTAACCCAGTCTGGCATGTGAAGGGTTTGTGACCCAGTCTGTGAACAGGCTCGAGGGGTGTGTGAGCTACAGACTCAGCCCTAGTTCGACAATCGGCCCAGTCAGTGCAGGGTTACCAGCAGGTAAAAGAGCCCAACAACTGGCATGGTCGCCTAGCTATACAATTGGCATGACGAACAGGATTAAGAGATAGACAATTGGCACTATGAGGATTCCAGGCCTTGCCATAGCCAGACATTGGGATGCAATGATTTTTAATTTATAAAAGGGGCAATTTCAAATGGTCCCCATTCAGGTAGATCATACTGTATATTCTAAATTAACTCCCTTTTATTTTCTATAAAATACCTAAGTGAGCTGCTCTCTTCACACTATGATAATGTTATATAAATTGTTGAATGCCTCAAATTAGCCTGTTTTCAAATTTTGTGAAGTAATAAGCCATTAATTATTAAGTTTTTAAAACTCTACAAAAAATTTAAAGACAAATGGATACATTCACAATATTGGCAACTACAGGAAATTAGTTAAGAGTCAAAGTTTAATCATATACACTACTGAAAGAAAAAATAATGTACAGAATCCAAAACAACAGATGCAAACATCTCTGATTTGTCTTTAAACTGTTTTGAACCTGGGTTTTGAATACGAATATTCCTGAAATGCTAAGGGTTTACAACACTTCATAATAAATAATAAAGCCTTATAATTATTATATGATTCAAGAGCATGAACACTTTGTTGCTATTTGTCCCCAAATATCCATTCACTATCCTAACACACCCAACCCCACCAAGACACAATATCCTTTTTAAAGGCTACTGCAAATAACCTCTTAAAGCAACATAAGACGTTTCTTCTTCATCAAGAGTGTGGTTTGCATGCTGTCTTCCTACATTTGTTGAATAGCATTAAGAGAAGACGTCCTATTAAGATCTTCACAAGGTTTTTTTTAAGCATAGTGGGAAACTATATCAGTATTTAATGTTTTCAAAATGCATTTTATGAATTTAGCTTTCATTTAACTGCAAATAAACAAAAATAGACCATAGAGTTATATCATATAAACTAAAAACCTACTTCAAAAAAAAAAAACCTGGCAGTTAAATAGATAAAGTTAATTAGCAAATATTTTTAGAAATAGTACAAAATCTTTACCTCATACTTGTCACATTTATAATTCGCATCCATTTGTTTAATTGTTTATGATGTCTCCTCTTTTAGATTGTAAACACCATAAAAGTAGAGACTATTTTGTTTTGTTCAAATGTATATGTATGTGTTTGTTTACATACATCTGATACATGTATGCATGCATACATGATATATACAAGTACACATAACACTTATGTGTACAAATAATGTTTGTAGAGGTGTACATATATTATATGTGGTATGGTGTTCTACTAGTGAACTATAAGCTAGTATAATTAGTATGTTTTGAGTTAATAAATAAATGAAACTTTAAAATCTAGTCTATAAGCATTAACCTAACTTTCATCTCTTCAAAAATAAATCCCTATCAGCATCTCAACATAAATTTACCTAGAATAAATCCTCTTCGCTGTTCAATTTTTTAATTTATCTTCTGAATTATTGCACCTCAAATATCTCGTAGGAATTCTTTAATACATATGTAATAAAAAATAAACTTGAAATTTTCAATTATTTTTAGCTTTTCCTTGTTTTTTCAATATCTGTTCTTTGGTTTTAGGCTGATGTAAGTCGACACACAAATGTCGAGAGTCTACAATAGGACAGGCAATGTATTTGGCACTAGGAATACAGAGAGCTCTCTGTTTAACTGGGGAGACATAACTGAAAACAAATAATTAACCATACGAGAAAGAAGTACCCATAGAAGTATACACAATGTGTTACACAAGTTTGAAGAAGATGGCTGTACTTCAGGAATAATTAAGATGCGATAGTAGGAGAAAAGTTTAACAGTAACTTTGATTAGGATGTTGAAGGAAGACTATGGGGACTCACTGAATGAGAGAAGAAACATCCACTGTAGGCAGAGGAGACAACATGTACATAGCCGTCTCCACGCCACTCCCTTCATTTACTTCTGCAGTGTACCTGAATGACAATAAAACCACCATACTGCCCTGGTTCACCCTGATGGTTCTAAATTGCAAATTTCATCATTTCTTCCTCTTGCTTAAATTTTTACTCACCTCTCATAAGTTCAGAGGTTTGAATCTGGTACAAAAGGCACTTCACAGTCAGACTGATCAAACTGTCAGTTTCATCTGACAATTTCCATCATCTATTCACAAGTGTATCTGTAGCCTCATGACCTTTGCAAGGGCTATGTTCTCTGAGCCCAGAAAACCTCTTTCTTTCTCCTGCAACTAATTCCTACTTATTTTAAAGACTAAACTCAATTATTACATATTCAGAGAAGCTTTTTTGAGATTGAGTGGACATCTCCATAGCTCCCTGTTTATACTTCATTTTTACATTTATCAGATTGTGCCATTAAAATGTGACTTACTGCTTTGCCTCTTGACGCTATGACCTCTACTTGCTAGTAATCATGTCCCTCATCTCTGCCTTGCTTGTGGAGGGCAACAGATATAGGGACTAGTGAGAAAAAATTAATAATCTACACTTTGGGATAACGTAAATGTTTCTCTAATGCCTTAAGAAAGTTAATGTTCTCCATATTAACTAGCTATTAACTCTGACCTTACAGAAAGAAAATATTCAAAAGGATTTTAGAGTTATCTAACCCAGTGTTTTCAAAAATATTTTTGACTATGACTCATGGTAAGAAATGTTCTATAATCCAGCATGGTATACACTCATCTATCTGAAACAACAGTTCTATAATATAATAATTATTACTTAAGACACAGTAAACTATAACAAAATTAATATCATATTATTTTATTACTATTTAGATACAACAGCAACAACAAAAACCAAAATGCATAATACAAAAATAAATCAAATAATAAACCAACAAAGTAAACATAGCTTTGTGTTTATAAACAAAAATGATTTCAAGGCCCATTAATGGTGTCATCCTCCCCCATTTATTTACTGTAAACTTGCTCCACATTTTACAGATAAAAGTGAAGCCTTCAGTGGTAAGTAATTTGTCCAGAGAAATGAATACAAAGCTGGATCTAGAACACCCCTGAATCTCTGGCTGGTACTGCTACTTCACCACAGTGAGAAAGACAGGACTTTTGCTAAGAAGCTATTAGCATATCTGACTCATTCACCCTTACAGACTAGATCTGTTGGGCAAAATACCTTTACTAATGAATTCAACAAACCCACTATTTAACCTTCTTAATTATCTTTATGCACAATCCATACTTTTTGACAGAAAATCTGTGTTAAAAACAATACTGGTCTGGAATCCAATTAGAAAAGATACTTAAAATCCTCAGAACTATAAATTCTGAATCAAAGCTGATGAGGCTTGAAATTTCATGTCTGTAATTATACTTTCAGAGTGGATGAGTGAGTTAGTAGAAATACTGCCTTAAATTGGGAAAAGGAGAACCAGATTGATAGAAAAGCCATACTGCAGACTTCTGAAATGAGTATGAGAGAACTTTGCTAATTTTTTAAACCAAAATTGTTAGCATATTTATATGAATGCTTGTTAAATATAAAGTTTTTTCTACTGCACGTTTTGTTTTATTCTGCCCTTATCTTGGTAAATAATATTTATACTTTCTTGTATTTAATAAGTACATACAATATGCTGTCACAAAAGGGTCTGTGGGGGGAAACCTTTTCCATGAAATTGACAGTCTTGGGCCGGCCTGTGGCTTACTCGGGAGAGTGTGGTGCAGATAACACCAAAGCCACGGGTTCGGATCCCATATAGGGATGGCTGGTTGCTCACTGGGTGAACGTGGTGCTGACAACACCAAGTCAAGGGTTAAGATCCCCTTACCGGTCATCTTTAAAAAAAAAAAAGAAAAGAAAGAAATTGACAGTCTTCCTCAGTCTCATGCTGTTATTTGAAAGTGAAACAGGGAGGGCAACACTCATCATTTAAGACTGCCAGAGCCTACAGGCTTGAAGTATTTTATTTAATTAAAGAAACAATCAAATGACTGAACAATTGTAATTACCACAAAAATCATGATTAAGTCTGAGACATCAGTCAGTGCAGACAAATGGGAAATTTCTGTCTGTACAGAAATCAAGAATCTCTTGAGAAGCAAAAGAGATTCAAAAGTTAGACTAAGCAGGAGTTTGAATGACATCACTCATCAAATATCAGTTATTCATTTCTGAATCTGTAAAACAATAGCCTGAGTATCTCCTAAACAAAAATACATATATACATACTTCTTTACCTTCAATTCATTAATTACTCAGTTCAGTGTTCAATTATGACAAATGTCACAGAGAGTACAGATTTTGTTAATCTGATAATTATTTACATATGAGGATTTTAATTTCAATCATCTCATTCATGTGATACATACAATAATCCTATTGCTATCATACCTTCTAATATTTTGAGTTAAACAAATAAAAATTCTAATAGAGTCTACTCTTAAATTTATATTTCATTTTCCCAGAATATACTTTAATATGCAACATATGATTAAAATTTAACATGTTATTGAACATATTTAGGAAATTAAGTTAACTATATTGAACACTTTATTCTTTAAAGCATAGGTTTATCTAAACATAATATAGTTGATATATTATTGCATATCATTTCCACTTCTATTATTTAGAAAGAAAGGATCACGTTGACCCCTTTTATTTCAAAAATGTCTTACATTGTAAAAGAACAACAACTACAAAACTTTTAACACGAAGTACAATAACACAGTGAAAAACTTCTTTAAAAGCAGTCTCCCCCAGCCATCATCTGCACTGCCTGTCTCAGGAGTCGTAAACCTCTGTTCCCACTGATAACCCTTACTGAGAAAAGCTGAGTACTTACGCATACATCATGGACCCAGGACTGGGATAGCTTCTATTCAGTCACCATCTGATCTATATCAGCCAGGTCAGGGCTGGGAGGCTGGAAAATAATGACAGTCACTGGCAACAAGAAAGGAAACAAGTCTGACAGGTTTAGTGACTGAGGTATGCTGTTTTGATACAGCCTGATAAGAATATGATCAATTTTGTGCCAGCTGATTCCACACAATGTAATTGTTAATACCTGCATAGAGAAGCTGCAAGCAGTAGAGGGCTCACAATGCAACTGGCGATGATTCAGAAGGCCGCACTTTTCCGGTTGGAGAAGTATGATTAGCACTGAGGTGTGGCCCCAATTTGTTTAAAAAAAAACAAAACAAAACTACAGTACATTGATGGCACTTCTTTCTGACTTCTTCACTAGAAATGTTTCATCTCTTCCCTTTGAGAAACTCACAAGGTATGGTAGAGCAGAGAAGACCTGGGCTATGAACCAGGCACTTATCTCTGCCACCTTGGTGGTGTAACCACGGGCAAGCTGCTTGGCTTTTGGGGGCTTACTTTCCTCATAAGTGTAATGGGAGGATTGCATTAACTTTTTCTAATACTTTTCATTTTAGCTCTAAAAATAATAGATTCTATTGAATGAATTTATTTATCCCCAAAAAGGCAAAGAAAGGAAAGTAAAACAAAAAGAAGAAACTCTTTCCCCTTTACCATTATTAAGAAGTTTAGCTCATCTTAATGATGTGAGTTGTCCAGTGTTTATAAATAGTCCCTTTAAATACTTGCTTACATCTACAGAGATTTTATTCTGAATATACGAACTTCTAATAAAGATTAATAAAGTTACATGGTAGATATCACAACTTTAAGAGCTACTTTTAAAGGCTCAGAGCCAGGAGCTAGTCAAGAAAAAAAGCTATGCATTTTTGTTATTCATATAAAATACCTTTATCTAAAATACTACAAATACAATATGAATCTAATCTTAAAATTTTCCACTAAAAGCACTAATAGGAGATATATTTCCCTAGACATTTTGCAAATGGAAAAAATGAGGCAGATTGTCAGTTTGTATAATTATCAACAATATGACAAAGGGACATATGACAATATAATTTTGAGTACTGTGGCGCTACTGCTAATGTCTGGAATCCTGCTCACAGCGCCTATTTTCTACTCTTAATCCTGTTTGTGACGCCAATCGTAAAGCTACACGACCACGCCAGTTGTCGGTCTCTTTTACCTGCCAGTAATCCTGCACTGACTGGGCTGATTGTCGAGCTAGGGCTGGGTCTGGAGCTCCCAGACCCCTCAAGCCCATTCACAGACTGGGTCACAAACCCTTCATGCCAGGCTGGGTCCCCAGACCCCTTCACATGCAGCTCTATGAGCTAGTTAACTGGCCAAAAGGTCCTTGGAGCCACAGATTGAAAAGCATGGCTGCGCAGGGCGGATGCCCGAGGCTGACGCCTGCCTACCTGCTTCACTAAAACTCCTCTCTCTTCTCTCTCTCTCTCTCTCTCTAAAGAACACAAAAATAGGAACAAAACTAAAAAGATACATTGGCATGCATGCGCACTAACTACACACACACACACACACACACACACACAATTTGCTTACAAAGGATGCTGAACCACACCCAACTGGACCCAAGGTGAAGGCCCTGACCAAACCATTCTATTTTCCCAAGTAGGAATAAAAATTTCCAAATAAGTATTTCACAAAAGTTACCAATCACTTTACATTGAAAAATATGTCTTACTTTAGCAAAAGTAGCTTTCCTCTTTCGAGCATTGATTTTTTTTTCAAAAGTTAAAAATTATAAAATTATAAAAGTTGCTAGAAAAATTATAATAATTTTAGTAAAAGAATATAACTATTATTTTCATTTACTTTTTCTTTTGTTTTGGTTTTTTGGGGGCTTTTTTGGCATCTGGCCAGTATGGGAAATTATTATTTTCATTTTCTATGTAGTATATAGTAGTACTTTGGCTAACTTGAAATTAACATTGTGCAAATATTATTTTAAAGCAGTTTAAAAGTTTACATTAAAATATTTCTCATTAATAAATTAATATTCTCATAATCCTTGTTTGTTAAAATTCATAAAAATATTCTCAGCCCCTTTATATTAGTAAGAAAAATATATTATATATATTTATTATTATATATTATAATATATTATATATATATTATATGTATATTATATATATGTATATCATATATATATATTATATATATATATATTAGCAGAAAAATTCTGTGCCTTAAGTGAAAAAAATTTATGCTATAAAAGATGCATGTCCAAGTAAGAACAAAAGCCACCTTTGAGGATTCTGGAATGAAACATGTGATACACACATATTTCTCCTTTTAATTAAAAAAATCAGCATTTTCATATTGAACCAATAGGACTTGGGGGAGAAAACTTAAAATATATAGTAAGGCACAATTAACCATGTTTAAACAGTTAAAGTATGCAGTAGAAGCTTTTACAAGATCAAATATAGAGGTTTAACAGTTTCCCTCAAGAACCTTTCCTGTCAGGCCATTCTTTCAAATTATCTTCTATTTGGTTTTACAGCTTGTATTTCTCCGTTTTTGTTTTTTCCCTTCCTTCTGCTTTCAGTGAATATGTAAAATAACTCATTTTTATTCTCTGAAGTAATGTCTTTACCATGGCGAGGTGGCAGTACACCAGGCTCCTGGGCGAGATGCCTGGATTCAGTTCCTCACACTGTCATGAACTACCTGTTTGAACTTGGGAATGTGCTTAACCTTTCTACTTCTCAGCTTCTCCCTCTGTAAAATGGAGATAACACTCGTATCTAGTGAAATGAGATAATAAATGTAAAAGATTTAAAATAGTGTCCGGCCTAAAATAAAACTCTCAAAAATGTTAGATACTCTTTCAACTCTCATTTTTCCCGCTAGGATTAGCACTATATTGCTAAATGTTTTCAATAGACTTCAAAAATGGTATTTTTCCAAACTCTTTTGCCATGTGGAGTTCTTTTTAGCAACATATTATCTTGAGTTTTTTGCTTTAATTGTGATAAATAATTAAAGACACTGATCTATTAGGTTCTAATTAATGTAGCATATGAGGACATTTAAAAGAATGTTCTTCATGAGGCTGCATAACTCCATCAGCTAATTCTGAGGATTGGCAGGCATTAGTAATTTGTACTATAAAAGTGAAATTACTACACGTGAATTTATTTCATTGTCTTTCAGCACCCTCAGACACATGTTGCCACATGTGGGCAGGCACCATACTGGTTTCTATTGTTGCACTGTTGATTGACTGATCAGTCAAAAGACAAAGAGTGTATGATGCAAAACGTCAGTGGGGAAAAGTCAACAATAAGATGACATTACACAAGAACGTAAAGAGGAAAGCTGCGATACTCCCAAATTAATCGTATTTCTTCAATGTTCACAATAAAAGAAATAGAAAAATACAACTTTTAGAATCAACTTCATAAAAGAATCATGTATACTTCCCTGTAATTGCATATTTTATAATAAAGTAATTAAAATTTGAGCTTAATAAATGAGTCATTAACAAAGAAATAATTTAACTTCATACTAATAGCCTAAAGTTTGAGGGCTGGTCTTAAATTTTGCCTTCTACTTATAAAGAAATCAATAAACTATTTTTCCATTGAAGAAAGACTGTAAAGGGACATAGCACAGGATCACACCTTCCCAATTGTGAGCACTTGGATCCAATAGGTGAATATCCAAAGGATGCTAATATGGAAAGAAGAGACCCCCATCCAGAGAAGCAATAAGTCCCATGGATTAGGACAGACGCATCACAGGCCTGAGGAACAGAATACCAAATTGCATGGCCTTTCTCTAATATATTAAAGAATCAATTGATGTTATTTGTGTCAGAAAACTGAGAGAATTAAAATTGGGGACACAATGTAAGATCAACTCTTCTCCATGGATCACTGCCATGTGCTCATTAAATTATGGAACTGAAAAAAATGGAACAAGATGTGCACTTTTTTTTAAACTCGAAGAGTAGGTCTTGGAGTTGTTCACACCAATGTTCAAGTCAATATTTTTTTTTTGATCCTAATTGTTTCTTTTAGAAAATTTTTAAGCAAAATATATATTTTATACATGAGAAAGAAATCACATTTAAGTTATCAATATAAATATCTTAATTACTTCATGGCAACCAACTTCAAAATTGTAGACATATTCTATTATCACTTAAATATAAAGTACTAAAATGGTGTCCTTGCTAATAAATATCTGTAAAGGTAGCTAAAGCAATTTATCAGCTTTAAGCAGCACAATGAGACTTCAGTAACTAACTTACACAGCATTCTCTGGATGGTCTCCCCATGGTTTGGGGGATTTCTATTTTCCAACTATGTAATAGAAGAATCAAGTAAACATCAGTGGATGAAGAAGGTATCAATTATTTATATCCTGGAAATTTTCAAAACTGAAAAATTTTACAAAATTTCAGTCTTTATTATTCATAGTTAACCACTCTCTATTTTTAAAAATACTGCTCCTCAAGTTTTTTTGCAAGCAGTTATAAAATACTGTATATTTCTGTATTATTATATGTAGAGTTTACTTTTTAATACCTTGTGATCCAGCTATTGCTTAGCTAAATGTTAAAAACATAGCATTCAGCAAGAAATAGTGGTTATTCTGAAGTGAATAGACTAATATCAGTAGCACCGAAAATCTCTTTCCAATAATCAAACAGCCAACTATCTGCATTCTTTGTGTGATGTTATTGGAAAATATTTTATGCACAAATTGTTTAACTCTTTGTAAAAAAAAGTTAGTAGGTTCTATTGTAATAGAATACTTCATCACTCTCCGTTCAAATTTCTGAAAATTCTTTTATTATACTTGCAATATATTTATAGTTTATAAATTACCTTCTTTCATCATGCTTCCAATCTTGGTTCTCTAAAAATAACAGGTGTAGTGGATAAATGGCTTAATAACACTTGTGTTAACTTTTTTCATGTGGTTGAAGATGTCTAAGAATATGTTGTTGGAGTTGTATGGTAATAGTCTGTATTTACTGACTGGCTAACACTTGTCTTTAAAAAGA